GCGCCAGCAGCAGAGGAGGTCTCGCTGGCGCTGTCGTCGTCGCCGCCATCATGGTCGTCGTGGTCGTCAGACGAGCCGCTGCCCTCGCCCTTGATGACGACGACCTCGGCGTCCTCGGTGACGCACTCGCCCTCGGCGGGGCCGGCAGCCTGGGAGGTCAGACGAATATCGGCGCAGTTGTACTGGGCCTGGCCCGAGGGGCCGACCATGATGGTCTGGATCGAGGCGTTGGTGCCGTCCTCAATGTTGAGGTCGGTGGGCAGGGTGAGGCTGTCGAGGCAGAGGGTGCCGTGTCCGGATGTGTTGGTGAGCTGGGGCGTCAGAGAAATGTTGAACGAGGTGATGTTGCCAGTCGTGGGGTCCTCGAGGCCGACGTTGATGAAGGCGTAGTTGAAGGCGTGGCCGAGCTGGAAAGCGATCGAGCCGTTGGTCAGGGGCCAGTCGGTCCTGTTGCCGCTGCCGTACTCGACACCACCACCTGGCAAAGAAAAAAGTGTCAGTCATGCTGCGAGCGTGTCGAACGGCGCAGCGAGAGAACATACAAGGCCACGTCCACTGGCTGTAACCAGTCTCCTCGGTGTCCTCAAGCGTGTCGGCACGCCAGTCGGGGTAGAGGATGCTGTAGTGGGCGGCGGCGAGGCCGGCGGAGGCGAGGGTGAGGAACGACTTGGCGACCATTGTGGATTCGGGGTGCTCTGACGAGAATGAGGCGGAGAGTCAATGGGGAGAGACGTGTGCGGTGATCACAGCGGAGAGAAGAAGAAATGGATGGGTGAAGGTGAGGTGAGGAAGCGCAAAAGTCTAGCTATCAAGGTTCTCTCGATGTGGGCATTCCTCATACCTTATATAAATAGGCCGAGTGATTTGGTGGTCTCACCCTCTCACCCTCTGACCCTCTCACCCCGCAAGCGGTATCACATCGTTTGCTTACCAGCTCTGACTGTGCATGGCATCAGTCGAGCAAAGTAACGGGCAGGCCTCACCCCCGCAGTAGGCGTGTCTAGCCTTGCGCGTTCTTGCCTCGCTCGGCCTCCGGTTCCTGCCAATTGAGGCGATCCCCCGCGCATATCGTGCCTCGCACCACGCCGTCGGGCAGGGGCCACGAGGTTGGTGGTTGGTCTTTCCCCCCCGGAGCCATGCCATCGTCCAATGGCAAGAGCTGCCCAAGAACGCCAGGTGAGCAAGTTTACCCACGCAGGAGAGTGATTAGCTTGTATCCCTGGAGCCCCGATGGGCCCTTGGCGCGACGTCGAGGTCCTTGGTAGACCGACCGGACTTTCTGCACTGCAGTGAGCTGGTGTTCGAAGCTCCCCAAGGGTAACAGAGCGCGGTCGAATGTTGAGGGGCAGGAGCCTCTTGGGGCCCCGTGCGACGACCCGCTAAACATGCATCCAACTGGACGAGGCGCCAATGCCATCGCTCCAAGCAAGAACGTCCGGGCCAGGGGCGGCAGAGACCCTGGCGCCGTTAGCGTCATTGGCGCTGGAATCTTGCTCAAACTCCCGCAGCGCTATCCCCAATGTGGGGTCACGACCCTTCGTTCCTCGCGACAACGACATGCCCCTCAGTAGACTTCTACTGTGAAGCCCTGACAAGCTGCGATCAAGAGCGCTCTTTGGCGGCCGTTTGCACGACTCGGCGCATTTTCCTTTGAGTGATGTGGATTGGTGGCTTCTAGGTGCGTTTCGAATCGAAGATTAGGCCGGGACGCCATATTGTGCTCACCCGCAACGGAAGATAGGTCCGACCTCCAGATCTAGGGCCTTCGGATCACAGGCTTCGTCTCGATGGCGAAACACTTTCTTTCTTTGACGACCGGATAGCACATGAGCTCGGATGACGGACTTGGCTGACAAAATCCTCAGGCTCTGCGTATCTCGCTGCTCATTGCTTTCGTCTCCTGAAGCGCACGATCCTGTCCATGATGCTGTCATCGGTGCCATTTCCTCTGCAACACTGTAGAACGAAGGACAACACGCCCGCGAGATCAGGCACTCCTCGCCTCTAGTGACAGAAAGCTCTCGAACCCGAGACCCGAGACCCCCGCTCTACTGCGCATGCCGCACGATGCCCACGATGTGCACGTTCCCGACAGTCTGGTCACTAGGTTGCCGCTCGGTTCTCCGGTCGATCCACACAAGCTCCCATGCATGCGTTCCTGTCTGACATGGGACATTCTTTTGGACGAGCTTGCTGCCAATCACTCAGGGTTTCTTCAAACTCGACACCTCTCTGACCTGCCAGGGGGATGACTGGCGGTTACTGTGTCGCCGCGACGTCTCTGCGTATCGGCCGAGAGGCACACGTGAGGCACGTGCCGCGTTCTGCTGTATATTTTTCTTGCCCGTTTCTCACAGATGGATTTCATCTCATCTTGTGGCATGTCTTTCGTGATACAGTCAGCGACGGCTGCGACTCATCTGGAGGATCTAATCCCATGAGTCTATGGCTGTTTGTACCGCAGTAGTTCACTGACACCTAATAACGCGAGGCTCCGTTGTTCATCTTGTGCAACGCACTGGGACACTCCAGAATTTTCAATGGATTTTCAAACATATTTAATTACTCATCCCTAGCTCTGTCATTGTCGAACAAACCCGTAGACAGTCACGTGTGTGAAGCGCCAATATAACAGTCTACTAGCATGTCTATGCGGAAGAGGTCTGTTGGAGCCGTTTAAGTGGCAGTCCAATGACTGGTGTGCATTTCACATGATACTGCAGCTGGTCATAAGCAAGGCGATATCGGCGGAGCTCCGCCACCTGCGCGCCATCCTCCAGACATTAGGCTAAGTGGAATGCCGACCGTGCTGCATACTCGCGAAAGCGATGCGTCCTTTCATCTGTTGCCAGGTCTTCTAAAATCATGTATTTCACTGTAGCCGCGAACAGCGGCTCATCCGCTTCAAGGATCGCAGGCACCAGGGGGTGCAGCCTTTCTCATGTCATCACCTTATCTTCTGTGCCTAGCCTATCGGAATCGCGGTCTTACTCGTGAAGTGTCGCGGCTGAAGGTGGCAAGATGCGGTGCAACATGGCATGCCATACCAATGTAACATCTCCATGCATCTTTATGCGGATGAGGGCCACTTTGTCGCCTTTGATGGTACAGATAGAGGAGTGGCGCGCCGATGTCGACGATTCCCCTTATTATAAGAGCAGTGCCCCTCGATCCCAATCTGCGCAATACTCGATTTTCATCCATGTAGGTATCATTTCTCCGGTCCACAGGCTTCCAGAATGTTGCTGTCTGTTGTTGTGCGACTCGTGGTGACCGCCATGCTGGCAGCCCAAGCATCCGCGGGACGATATCCACGGGACAGTGTGGATAGACTGCAGGATTCCGGTATGAAGAGGTTGAAGGCATACATCGCCGCGAATCCCCCCGAGTCCGGTTGCACTATAAAAAAAGCCATCAAGCGCAAGGAGTGGTACGGTGCACTCGTCGCAAGTTGTCTAAGATAAAGCTAACACTATTCGAAGGTCGTCCCTCACTCGTGGCGAAAGGCGATTGTACATCAAGGCTGTCAAGTGTTTGCATAGCAAACCCTCAAAGTACCCAAGGAGCGAAGCTCCCGGGGCTCGAAGTCGCTTTGATGACTTTGTCGTGACGCATGTCCAGCAGACAATGTCAATCCACGGAACGGCAAGACACAATAAGATTTCGATTTAGACCATTCTGACATCGTCCAGGCAAACTTTCTCTCGTGGCATCGATACTTCGTTTGGGCGTATGAAAAAGCGTTGCGAGAAGAGTGCGGATATCGTGGCTATCAACCGGTACAGTCTTCTTCCCCTTTTCACACACGCTCCATGATTGCTCATTCCCGCCAGTACGAGCATTGGCCGTACTATGCCTCCAACCCCCACGACTCCCCCCTTTTCGACGGCAGCGACGCCAGCATGTCCAGCGACGGATCGAAGGTCCCGCATGCAGGCTATCCATGGGCGGGATACAACATACCGCCTGGTGACGGCGGCGGTTGCATCATGGAAGGCCCCTTCAAGGAGTCAGTCGTCCCTCCTGCCTGACTTATTCGACAGCCTCCGCAACTTATGTCGCTAACCTCCAGAGCAGTTTCAAGGTCAATCTTGGGCCCTTGGTTCCTTTTCTCCCTGACCTCCCCGCAAACCCTCGCCCCGACGGCTTGGGCTACAACCCGCGCTGCCTCCGACGCGACATCAACCGGGTCGCTGCCAACTTTTCCAACGAGCAGTACACGTACGACCTCATCACAAAGGAGACAGACATCTACTCGTTCCAGACTGTGATGCAGGGTGACTTCAACAGCCTGAACATTGGCGTACACGGAGGGGGCCACTTCATGGTCGGTGGTGATCCGGGCGGAGTGAGTTTCTTTCGCAAGCTGTCTGCCAAAGGCGGGGCTGATGATTGTACAGGACTTTTACATCTCGCCAGGAGACCCGTCGTTTTACCTGCATCATGCCATGATCGATCGCGTCTGGTGGATTTGGCAGCTGCGAAACTTGGACGCGAGACTGGATGCCGTTGCCGGGTTGACGTTTCCAAGTGATGGGTCTGGGGTCAAGAACGGGACGTTGGATGATCCAGTTGATCTCAATGTCAACGGGAAGGAATACAGGTTAGGAGACTTGCTTGATACGATGAACGGACCGTTCTGCTACATCTACGTCTGAGGTGAAGCGCAAACGAAGCCACAACTACCTTCATCTCACTCAGGCGAAGGAACGGCGCGTCTGTGCTCCTTCCTTCCATTGTTCTCTGTTCTATGCAGATGACTCCTGCTCATCTCTCTACGTAACGCATTCGGTGACTGTCTTCGTGAATTCGGCGTTTCTCCTGTTGATCATCCGGGCTTCTCGTCGCTTTCAAGCTACTTAATCGAAGCTCCTTCCAGTGCCTCGTCATTGTCAATCCTTCCATACCATAACTCACACATTCGTTACACAATACCCCTCCAGGGTGACAGAGCTCTTTTGGTAAGCACTGTCGTCAGCTGCAAAGGCGATTCTGTCATCCTACTTCGTAGCAATGTTGCTGCTCGAGGACTCGCCCTCATCCACGGGTTGTTCGGTCTCGAGATCGCCATCTCTGTCGTCAACCCATCTCTGGAGGAAGTCGCCCACGTTATCGCCAGGCTCTTTCCATTCACCCTGAAGCCATGGCTCGCATTTCCTCAGGATGTTGCATGCCATGTCAAACGGGCCGTCCACACACATGTTCCAATCATCAGAGCGATAGAGGAAGGCGTTCCACAGATGCGACGATTCCAACATGTCGTCGACAACGTCGCTGCGCAGCCAGAACGACGCTACTTGTTTTTCGCCGTCCCACTTCCACGTAGTGACGACGTGGCTGTTGTTTCGAAGAAATTCTGCAAACTCAAATTCGTCAGGCGATTCGCCGCGGGCCAGTGCCATCGCGAGACCCGACCCGTCGAAGAGGTACTGATCATGTTCTTTGACGAAGACGATGACAAACTCTGGCGCTTCGGGGTTCGGAATCTCAATGTCTCTGTCTGAATCAAGCAGCAGCTCAAAGCGGCTAACGTCTTGCAGGGTGAGCTTGCTGGTGACGATGCTGAAGTTGAGGAGGCGCTGCCAGATGACGGCCAGGGTGCTGAGCTCGGCGTGCCAGGGACGAAGGTTGATGCACGTAAATTCGCGATCCATGTGCTTGCCGCTCATGTAATCAGGTTCATTGAACGACCAAATCTCGGTGGGGAAGCGAGCCTTCGTTTCGAAGTCTGGGGTGAGGATTCGGGCAACCTGTTGAAACAACAGGTGGGGGTCCAATCCACGATCGCTGAGTTGGGCCACGAGACGAAAGTACGACGACAGATTGAGCGAGTGGGTTCGATGACAGCGTTTGTCGCGGTTCAAGGTGCTGCGTGGATGAGGCGAAAGACACAGGGTGAGCAGATGCTGGTCGAGCATCATGGCAATCAGGTTTCGTTTACCGGATGCCACCGTGAGCGGTGTCTTCAGCTCGATTTTGTTCCATCCCATTGGCATGCCCATGTGCAAGGGCCTTGCTTGGTCCGAACGCGGGGCTTCGTCCACCAATTTCTGGGTGACCTCGTCAAGAGTCAGACCATATGTGGCGGGGATGAGCTCACGCCTCTGAAGCCCGAGAAACTCGTTCAGGTAGTCGACATGACTGCGGTATTCCAGAGTACCCTCCCAAGCGGTAAACGTGATCTGGAAGCCATTATCGCTGGATTTTAAGACATGCGGAACCGTCAGGAAAATGGCCATGAGGCCGCCAGAGGCATCGCTGCGTTGGGTCAGCTCTATCAACCAGAAATTCCAAGGTCTTACTTACGCTACACTAGACAAATCAACCCTGTCAAATTTGCAAAGGGCCTGGCTTGCAATGCCTTGAAAACCAGAGTTGTCGCTTTCATGTTCGCCCTTGGGCAAGCCCAAACGTAGCTGATCCAACACGTCGATGGCATCGCCGAGTACGAAGTGCAGCTTGAGAGAGCCCCTGATCTGTTTGAAAGAGTCCCAAAAGCTCCGGAAGAAGACCTGGAGTGCATTCAGAGCATTTGTTGGATTCTCAAGGTCGACCTTGGGTACAAGTCCCATTACGGACAGGAGAACGGCTACACCGTAGCAGCCCGCAAACTTGGGCACAGCAAAAGTTTTGTGCCTCCGGCCGTTACCTTTGAATCTATCCACGTCTTCTGCGAGCATGGTAGCGTTGACCTTCCACGAAAGAGTTATGTGGGTTCTCATGAGATCGACGAGATCTTTCCTCTGTTGATCCCGGGCGCTGGCGCTTCCAGTGGTGGTCTTGCACAGTGCATGATACTGTTGAATCATCTTGTAGAGCTGCTCGTCTGTGATGCGAGGGTCTCCACCACCAAATGCCGGCCAATCGTCCTCGTCATCAGATTCCTCATCGTCTGAGTCGAGGTGGACGAAGCATTTTGGGAGGCCAAGGATACCAACATGGTTGGAGATCTCGGTCTCAGCCTGGGTACTGAGCGAGGCATTGGGAAACATAGCAAGCCACTTTCTCGGATCGTTCTGCTGAAGTTGGTTCATATAGTTCGACTTGAGGATAGTGTCGTTCACAATCTGAAGTGAATATCCTTGGTCGCATGGCTCCCACCATTTGGTGACGAAGGATGCAACCTGCTCACGAGTTGACTTGGACATTTGAATGTAGTCGTGGAACAAATTAGCTTTGGGGTTGTTCCAATTGTGTAGAGCGTAGTTGACGAGACTGGCCGCAGCACGAACTGCCTCTGCTGCGCGGTGCGGGATGATGGGAGAGCTGAAGACAAAAGCCAGCGAGGCGGAATAGACCTCGCGGTCTTGTTCGTCAAATTTGCGGCTCTCTGTCTCCATCAGCTGGAGCATCACGAGAAGGCGGCCAATCGCTGCTGGGTGGTGATCACAGATGGTCAAGTGAAGTTGTTGAGGCACTGCCTCCACGTTCTCCATCTTTCTCTGAGACGCTAGCTTGGCTGCCTCGATGACAGTTGCGAAGAAGTGACGCCCGTCTCCTGGACCGGCGAGGAACAGGTTAAACGGTCCGTCGCCTGATAGGAGTTTCGCGTCAACCAAGGGTCTTGCTGGCTCAGTGTGATTGGGGTCATAGGGAGTCTGCCAGGTGCTGGAGAAAGGTCAGTCCGATAACATTCATCAAACCACCTCCTGACCCCAAAAGTGTGCTTACTAGGCAGGTTTGCAAAGGGGAATGCGGCTCTTGATCTTGTCTTTCAGAGCGTTTCGGGAAGGTTCTTGCTCGAGGCAAAGTTGGAGCAGTTTGTAAACATCGTGCTCTGTGACATCGTTCTTGGACATACCCGCGACTGTCTGGGGACTAATGACATCCAAGTAGGGACGAGCTGCCACCAAGTCAAGATTCGTGAGGTGGCGGGAAGCCAGCAAGTTTCGAAGGTACGAAAGGGTCGTGATGTTATCGGGATGGCGCGCTGCATGCCAGCCTTCCAGAGCTTTTTCAGCATACTTGTATGCCATCTCCACCTGTCCTTGTGCCATCTTGATCTCGGCAAGAAGGGCGTAGAGCTCGGGGTGGAATTTGTGCTTGCCAACCCTCATCTTGACTCCCTTCACGGCTGCAGACTCAGCTGGCGAAAGGAATCGTCAGTAATGATACTAAAGAGAGAAAGATCAGTCATGAAGATACTTACCACCTGCGAAATCTCTACTTTCAAGCATTCTGAAGGCCACAGCCAGTTGCTGCTCGTCACTATTTTCCACCTTGGTAGGAGCAGGGAGAGGTCGTATGCCAATGTCGATTCTCTTGGTTGTTTCCTCAAGATCAAGGGGCCCGTGCCCAGGCTCCCGAGAAAGTGAATAAGAATCCATGATTCCGATATCTCTCACGTGCTCACAGAAAGCCGGGTGAATGGTGGACAAGTTCAGAGAGTCAAAGTGAGTGACGTGTGCTGCGTCAAAAAAAGACTTGCAATCTGTGGTCTGAGAAGGGCTTAAAGAATTCTCCTCGTGATTATATGGAAGTTACGGTAGAACTTAATGAAACATCCGCCGCGGGCATGCGCGCGAGCCTCGGCGACGATGCGTTGCCTGCAAGCCAGAAAAGCGGCCCTGAGCGCGGTGACCTGGGCGGACGCACTAATAGAACGTGATGTAGACAAACACCTTGAAAGGAATACAACGTGTCTCAATGGATTTGGGCTTAATGCTGCATCAGCTCCCTGGAGTGCTCGGTATGATTGTGAGTGACGATTGCAAGGTATGGTTTTGTGGCCACAGGTCCCGGGCTGATGCTTGTGACTACTCAGCCAATGTTCTGAGCCTCAGTTCTTGGTCACCTCTTGTCCTCATCAAATAATAGCGAACAAGTGTAAAGACTGAGCAGGTGCGGTACTGTAAAGCACCTGCCGACTTTCTACAATCCACAGCGACCTGAATGGTGGCCACAAAGCATCACCAAGAGCCTTGATATGGTCCAAGAGATCGATCACCAGACATCCATGGCAAAGCCAAGACGTAATCCATTGCAAAGTTTGTAGCCACACAAGTGACAGCAAGAGGGAGTTCGTGGCACCTCGGCACTGTGGCAAAATCGGATCCATGTCTGCCCTCTGGGGATCTTTGTCGAGGCAAGTGCACCAAAGGACCGTCTAACTCCATCCGCATCGCTTGCTCTCTTGACCTAGTGTTTTCCACACATCCCTTCTGACCGTCGCATTGACAGTGTCCGATAGACAGCTCCATCGCCATCTGCAAGATGCGGTAACAAGGCACAGAATATTGGAGCATTTGGACGAGACGTCCAACGGTCAGAGACCGTGGCAGGGATCAAAGTAACATATAATTCAAACACCCCGTTATCTAACTGAAAAATCAAAAGCGCAGGCTATTCCCTCTAATCCACGAAGCGACCGGGTCCGCGGCTTGGTGTCAAGGTCCCCTTTTGCGGCTGACCGATTTCACGACCATAGGGGTCATCTGGGTATTCGATATTCAAAAAACGAAGCACGCAGTCCTGTATGGGTTTCAACCGAAGCATGACCCGGTTGTAGCGCCAGCCTACGAGGGGCACGCAGGCACCGACGGCGGCATCGAGGAGGAAGTGATTGGCGGTCGAGACGATGGTCAGGAGCATGGCCATGGGCCAGAAAGGGGCTAGTACACGTAGAGGCCTGTGCGGTGAGAATCGCACCAGAGTGACGGCGAGAAACAGGGAAGTGCCAAAGTGAAGTGATGGCATGGCGGCGATGGTAAGTTGGAAGCGGTTCGAAGTCCACGCAGAACCGCCATGAGAACCACCATGAAGCACGTCAATGAACCCGTACTCCTCTGGGAGCAGACGTGGAGGCATGCAGCGCCAGGTCGTCAAGATGACGAATGCTATGTAGTTGTTGAGCGCGATGGTGCGGCGAATACGCTGAAAGATAGAAGGTGTGAGGTAGGTGTAAGTATATATGAGGAAAACGATACCAAGACATATGTGGGAGTAGTAGATGCGAGCAAAGAGGGCCATGATGTTGGGGTGGTTCTTGAGGATATATGCCTGTAGCGGTTGCTCAATGGCGATGCCGAGAGTCTGCTCGAAGGAGAGAATAGAGAGGGCGTGGTACTGTGCACGCATGAAGACGCCCTTATTGCCCGCTATCATTCTCGCAGAAAAGGCACGCATCAGTTGGTAGATCCTAGATGTAAGGCGTTAGTGGATAGCATAATGTGTATTTGGGTCTCGGCAGATCCTTACCAATACGTCAAGTTCCAGTACCAGATCTCGACGAGAAACGGAAAGGCGCGAAGGAAGCGGGAGAAGAGGTTGAGATCTTGTGTGTGACATCGCTGTTCGAGGTATTCGGCATCATCCAATTCGGGACTGGAGGGTTCGAGAGGTGGAGATTGCTCGGCAGAGATGAGCCGCTTCTCCTCATCGCCGCGTCTGGCTCGACGTCGGTTGATCAGAGCGCCAACAGTAAAAGCAGCGACGATGACTAGACAGGCAACTATTAGCTTGGCCTGGCAGAGGAAGGAGGGTGGGGGATGCTGACAGCCAGGTTCGGCGGCGTTCTTCATACCGCTCGTAGGGGAGGACATGGCCAAGCGTGGAGTGGTGCGAGGTCCAGACTGGAGTCAGGTACCGATGCGATGGCCGCCTGTCGCCAAAGGCCTAATGGCATCCGCTGCCAGGCAAGACAGGGGCAGGAGAGAGAATGAGCGAAAGAGACGCAGCCTCCAATGGTACACAGAAGACAAGCGGTGCCGGATAGCTCTTCAAGCAAAACAAGAGACCAGAGGACCCGGAAGAGGGAACTTTCGTCGGGAAGGAGGGCGAGAAGCAACGAACAACCAAGACAATGCCATGGAATCAAACGGCGAGATAGGCTTGGCGGTGTCTGGGCGGCCAGACGTTAAATAAGATAGCAGTGAAAAGGGCAAAGAAGAGGAAGTGGAACACTGGAGACGGATCGGGACCAGGAATTAAGATGGGAGGCAGAGCCCTCGGCCAACAGAAAAGCACAGGCACAGCCTGGTGGCCGGGGGCTTGATGCAAAGCCTACGAATAGCTTGGCAGCTTGATTCGAGTGATGCTCGGCTTGTACTTAACTTGGTCGGCCCAATCTGATGGTGGATGCTGTGTTACCATCATGTGCAGGTGGTCACTCTCTCTGAACCTTCACTGCACATCCACCATTGGCCCGCGTTGCGAATCTGCATTGGAAGTCTCCCAGCTGAGGTGAGGGGACGGCCCTAGGTAAGATGTGATGAGGTGAGGCTGGTGATCATGGAGCGGCGTAGTCGTAGGAAAGCATGGCCTGCGATCAGCGAGGGCTCATCCACCCACCCTCTTAATCTAGTACTGGAAGCAACGTCGTGGAATGAGCCGAGAGGCCGGGAAGGCGCGGTGGAACAGTCCTCTTGCGCAAGTAGCTACTGAGAACCGCGCCTGCTGATCCTCGATCCCATGAGTACGTAGGGGGCGCCTCTCTTTGGGCATCAGATTGTTAGAAGAGAGTCCGGAAAGTAAACCACGAAAGTGCAAACACCATGACACGCGACAGGCAATGGCAGCGACCAGGGCAGTTGGCCATGGGTCCTTCTCCACACCGCAGCCCCTCCAAGGCTACTGCCGAAAGCCAATCGCCACGGAGCACAACCCTCCACTAGATGCGCTGGAAGAGCTCAGCCCCTTGCCGTTCCACACGTGGACGCCTTCCTCCTTGAGTCGACCGTTGCTTGTCTTTCCACTGAGACAGCCAGCCGCTTCCCATATTCTCCCCCATCAATCAGGTGATGGTGCCCGGTAGCGCACCGGGCGTCCCGCGTATCCCAGCCGTTCGGAGCCTTCCTTCTCATCGATGTGCAAAGATCGCCGACGAACATGTTGTAATGTACACTTCAACGACAGATGGGTCCGTGTCAGGAGGATAATCGACGCCAAGGCGCCAAATCCATGCTTGTCGGAGGGTTACGTTCTCATCACCGAAGATACCGGCCGGCACGATGCTTCTCTGCTGATCCCGACATGATCATCGTGCCTCTTTGCTGCGGGCTTATGCTGACGGCCGAGCAATCCTGACCGCAGGCCGAGCCCATTGGACGGGCGCGTGCGTCGTACGAGGGTTCGCAATTTCAGCTGCAGTTCCGCGGATCCGGCGGGTTGTTGTTTTGAGGCGGTACCGGCGGGGGATCATTAGAGGTGATTCGCTCTTGGTTTTAGGTTCTCGGTCCCGCGGCGCGTTTGAAGTTATGCTTCGTCTGAAGACCGGGAGCCTCAATGGCCCGACATTCGCGAACGAGGCGACGACTGGCATGGGAGTTTGCGGAAGCGATAAATCGATTTAACCTGTCGGGCAGGTACCTGGATCCAGGTACGAAACGGCAGTGAGTAAGCGGCAAAGGGCATCATGCCACTCCGCCTAGGCCGCCACGGCCCCATAACACCAAGACAACAGAAACCACAGTCGGGCTCTGGTCAAGGGAGATCGTGACTTCCTTCCACAGCCTGGCGAACTACGTATTTGTAAAACCTCCTCATCACATTACTTGTCATCATGCTCTGCAAACCGAAGCGCCCACGCTGCCCAGCACAGCGCACGTGCCTGGTCTTCGTCTATCTCGATCATGGAAGGCCCAGCAAACAACGACGCAGCCTCTAGAGTTCCGCCTGGGTCCACTCCTTGTCTTCAACAGGCACCCTCGCACTGGGACCTCTCTCTCCCCCACCCTCACAACGAAACCCAACATTGTCGCTGACGTTCTCGCAGTACCACTTGTTCAGAAGGCTGTTTCTGCCCGCAGTCCGAACATCCCAATCTTCAATCGTCACGTTGCTACAGCCGCCCGCTCCGGCGCTGCACCTGAACCACCCTGCTCTATCAACTCCCGCGGCTGTCGTTCCCTTGAACCGCCGCCAGAGGACATCTGAGATCTTGAAGCGGGAAGTGTCGCACTCCTGGCCGGCGTGTCCGTTGTACGACTCGCACTGCCAGATGTGCAGCGGCGTCGCACGCGTCCCATCGAGCGTGATGTCCTCGAACACGACGTTTCGCGCATGGCCCGTCCCGCCTCCGCCGCCGTTGGGCGGGTACCCGAGCTGCCGCCCTGTCCACGTCTTAAAGTAACACGCCCGGCTGACGTTGTGCATGGTGACGTTGCGGACGTGAAAGTTCTCAATGTGCTCGTGCTGGCCGACGAACTGGCCCACGGAGCCCACGGCGATGCCCGTGCTGTGCCAGAACTCGGAGTCGTACACAGAGATATTGGTCGAGTTGGCCTTGAGGGCGATGGCGTCATCGCCATTGGCAACACGCCAGCGCCGAAACGTGATGTGATCCGAGTACATCGTGTCAGCGCCGTCTGTGTTGAGTGTGTTGTACTCAGAACGCGACGTGCTGTTGACATAAATATCTTCGAGCAGCACGTGCGAGGAGTGCTGGATTGTCATTGTCCACATCTGGGACTGCACGAAGCGCAGGCCCTTGAGAACCGAGTCGCGAAGTCCCTTGATGTTGATGTTCATCGGACGGTGCGCGAGGTTGCCGCGGCCTCGCGCCCAGTCATACCAGACCTGGCCGTTGCCGTCCATGGTGCCGGAGCCATGACCCTGCCAGACAACACGGTCACCACCGAAATTCCAGACTGTGCTCTGATTCTGAAAGTTGATGGGCATCGATACGGAGAGCCAGTAGTTGACGTCGTTGGACCATAGGAGACGTCCATACTGCTCGATGAAAACGTCCTCCAGGCTGGTAGTGTTCATCGGCGTGTTGATGTGATACAGAGGACCTGGCAGGATAATGATGCTCTTGTATCGGCATTTGTGGTTGAACGCCTCGAGAATGGCAGGGGCATCGTCACCGCCATGAGGATCTGGCTTGATATGACACACTTGGCGGCCTTCGAGGGCCGCCTTTTCCACCCAGTAGGCCTTTGTTGGCACGCGAACCGCTGGTAGAGGGTCATGGGGAAGACTGGGGAGGATGGAAGGAGAGAATCGGAGGACTGAAGCGGCGGCCGAAGCCGCCATCAAGAAACTCATCGGCAAGCGATGCATGGCAGTGATTCTGACCGAGATGTGCCAAGGCGCTGACGCTGTGACCCAACAATAGAAGGCTTCGAGGTTTTCCCTTCCATTTGTGTCAACCGCACCAAGTTCAGACGTATTGGAAGAAAATGGGAGCGACTGGCTAAAGCTACCTGAGGTACTTCAGAGTTCCATCCGCCGCTCAAATTGGCTTTAGTCGAGGAACCTCGTTTACAGAAGCCATCTAAACTTCTGCCTAAATGCACCTGCCCTCTATGATTCTCAGGGAGCATACCACCTGGAGCCCCCCATAACTACAGCACCGACCCACTAGCCATCCCTATCATTGCTGCCCTGTTCATCGAACTAGCCATAGGTGTTGGCCCTGCCTTGGTGCCCTTGCCTCCCGTCACCCAAAGCTGCTTATCGAAGAGCCCCCTTTTGCGACCTTGGACATTCTCCCTTGAATACCGAAAGCCGCGCGTCATTTATTCGTTTCCTCAAGAGACGGTCAATCCCTTTGGCCCCCTGCGCTCTTCCTCGGAAGTTTGACTGAAATAAACCATCGGTACCAGAATGAACAGCAGCAGTGATCTATGAAGGAAGTGAAGTCCAGGGTGCGGGTGCGCAGGTTGTGTCGGCGGGACGTCACTGCCATGTCCAGAGCACCTTCCAGCTCCCCCAATTAACCCCGCACTCATCAGCAACGGCGGCAGGTCTTCAGATGCTGTTCTAATCGGCAAGGAACCATGCTAGGAAGTCGTGGACATGAGCTTGTTCAAACCAAGCATTGATCTACAACCTTGGCATGACCTTTCTTGGAACATCCTCAATGCGTGTCGAGTACATCATATATAAGGTAGATGAGATGGCATTCCACACAGGTATTTGGGCTCTCTTCTCATCAATGACGTCAGAGATTCATGATCTCCTGGCCATGAGTTCACCAATATGCGAGAATCCAACCTGTGGCACCAGCTTAATGCAGGTATCAGAACAATACCCCGCGGCATCACGCCGCTAAGAACGCGTCTGCGTCCTTACACAACCTCGCGTCCGTCGACGTCAATCGCCAAAGCTCCGTCGAGGGACCACAAAACTACAACCACTAGACGATGGAATACGACACTATTACCGCCAATGACGGCTGCCGCCTCAGCTTCCAGACGAGCGTGCCTCTCCTAGAAGCACAAGATCAAGATGCCGCCATCGTCTTGATGCACGGCTTCAGCGGCTCAAGTGAATACTTCGTTCGCAATTTCGCCTCTCTCTGCGAGAACAACTGGATCATCGCGCCCGACATGCGAGGCCACGGCCGTTCAGGTCGCACCACTGGTGGCTACCATGTCGCCCGTCTTGCCGTTGATCTACGAGAGCTTCTGGCTCATCTGAAAAAAGCCGCCCCTGGGGTTCGCTTCTTGCCCGTCGGGTGCTCCATCGGCGCTGCCGTGCTCTGGACCTATGTCGAGCTCTTCGGGCCTGAGGACTTCGCTGGTTACGTATTTGTTGACCAGGCCCCGCTGCAGGATAGGTCGGCGTTTGGTGCGTGGGATGAGTCCAGAGCCCACCTTGGCTGCTTCGACGAAGCATCTATGCTGCAAGCCCAGAAGGCCTGGATCGAGGACACGGATGCCGCTCACAGAGGTCTTGCGGAAGGCTGCCTCGGCTATCTTCATGCTCCTGCCCTTGAGGATCAGATCAGTCCCGAACTGCGGAAATTAGACATGGATTTCTTCACCCAAACCAGCGCACAGTGCGACCCTGTCTGGCTAGCGAGGCTGCTTGCAGATCACACGCGGTATGACCACCGTGAGGCCATTGAGCTTATCACGAAGCCGACGCTGGTCATGATGGGAAAGCGCACCGGGTGCTTCCCGCTTGAGGGTATGATGGAGACGGTCCGGCGGGCTAACGCGAGGAGACCCAACTTGGCTAAGGCATCTGTCTTTGACTCTGGGCACTGGCTTTTTTATGAAGAGCCGGCTCGCTTCAACGACGAAATTCTCTTGTTCGCGGCCGAAGCGTTCGCAACCTCGTGAAGTAGTCGTCATGTAGGGCAGCCAATGGTCATGCTGACCGCGACATATAACTCGTATCTCTCGCGACGAGTCTTATCCATATTATCTCTCATATACCCAAGGCTTCTTACACCCTCATTCTCTGTTCCCTAACCTATTTCGACTCCCATTCGCCGCACATCGCAATGCGCATTCCTCGAGCCGTTTCTGAGATGCGGTACGAGGGAGTGACATGGACGTCTCATTTCCTTAGCAGCAAGCACTTCATCAGCTGCCCAACTTGTACTATTTCCTACCAACAACACCCCAACTGTCGATGCCTTTTCACTCTTCATCCTTTTACCCAGGAAACGCACAACGCATACATCGCAGGGTATTCTGAGATTTGGAACGGCCCCAGGCAGTATTCCTGCCCAGAGAGCCTTCGCTAATAAACTTCGGCTGCGCCATGCCCCATGATTCAACCCACAAACTTGGCTCACTCCGACCAACCTCAATGAAGAATTTGATCCACAACAAACCAGCTCACCACTACGATGCCGCCGAGATGAATGAGCAACTGAACTGATTTGTCATCAAACAAGGGCGATTGGTTTAGTGGTATAACGTCTGCTTAGCATCAAAACGAGAAATCGTGAGATATTATCTGCTGAAGGTCGCGCGTTCGATTCGCGCATTGTCCATCGTTTTTGTTCACGCGAGCCTCCTACTTTTGGAGGTCAGGGTCTCGTTCCGTGACATGCATTCTCATTCATTCATATGTTCTTCCGATCGGGCACAATCGTGGCATCTCTGCCCTATTTACCGCCCACTATTTACATTAAGGCAAGCACAGTCCTGCTCATCAGCGCCTGATAGCCAACACCACGGGCAGCCCGTTCCTAATCTGGACGCAGACTTGGCCTGATCCATTCGAGGTGTAGGTACCAGATCCAAAAACATCATTCCATGTCGTGTTCGGCCTCTGCGTGTTGAAGCAGTATTCGCTGTTGCGGCTCGATCCATAGTTCGTCGTCAGCACAACGAGATCGCCTCCGGCGCGGCTCCACGCGTATGCGTTGGTCCAGACCTGCAGGTTGACCTGGTCGTTACCGGCCAGACCACCAGCGTTCTTCTTCGCACGGTTGAGCTTGGCAATGGCCTGGTAGAGATTAGAGTTCGTGTTGAAGCCACTCCTCCAAAGGTCCTCGCGGTTCGCAGGGTCATTGCCGCCGCCGTAGCCCTGCTCAGTACCATAGTACACGATGGGCACGCCACGCGCCAGGATGACATAGGCGAGGGCATTCTGCAGTAGTGTCTGGTCGTTCTTCTGGTTGAGCCAGCGCGGGTTGTCGTGGTTGTCGAGGAAGGTAGCCCAGGCTGTGGGGTCGCTGACGATGTTGCTGAGTCGGTTCTGCATATCAACGAGCTCCTGAGGCGATGCACTCTTCTGCTGGTAGAATCGGTTCATCGGATAGTAGACGCCGTAGTTCAGCAGGCCGCTCATGAGATTGTTGTAGCCGGCGAGGTAGTCTGGGTTGCCGTCGAAGACTTCGCCGAGCGAGTAGACGCCTGAAGCCCAGGTGAAGGGCGGCCAGAAGTCCTTCTCAACATGCTTGACCGTATCGATGCGGATACCGTCAAAGCCAAACTCCTCAACGAGCCAGCCGATCCAGTTCTGGAGCAGGGTGCGGAGAGCGGGGTTGCTGGTGTTGATGTCCGGGAGACCAGCGATGCGGCAGTTCTCGACGCTGTTTTGGTTGTTATAGTTGATCTGGCAGTCTGAATGGTATGAGCTGGCCTGGTTCAGCGGCTCCGGGCGCAAGTTGCTGATAGATCCCTGGCCCATGTGGTTGGCGACCACGTCGACCATAACGAACATGTTCTGCAGAACCGTAAGTAAAGGAAGCATTGCGGGAAGAACACCTTCAAACCTTTGCGTGTGCGGCATTGACGAGACTCTTCAAATCATCGGCAGTGCCGAGGTTGGAGTTGATCGAGTACAGGTCCTGGGCCCAGTAGCCGTGATAGCCTCCAGGGGTGTCTGAGGTCTTGTCAGCATTGGCTCTGGGTGCCCCGATGAACGAGGACTACTCACTGGCAACGACGGGAGTGATCCATATGGCATCGAAACCCATGCCCTGGATGTAGTCGAGTTTCGACTGCAATCCACGGAACGTGCCGCCACAGTAGTTTCCGAGGTTACCACATGCATTGCCGCCCGTGTCAGTGCTGCTGCGAGCAATACGGTCCGTCAAGACGAAGTAGATACTGCGCGTCTTCCACTCTGCGGTGCTGGCAGCCTGGACGCTCGCCACGAGCTGCAGCGCCGAGACGAACAAGGCGGAAATCCTCATGATGATGGTGATGCCTTGTCGCTGATGAGATTCGAGTGTTGCCTGATGTGCGAGTCGAAGCCTGGCCGTCCTACAACTTCGATTCTGAACGATGATGTACAGTTCTTTTTGTAGTCGTGACGCGCATGATCCACGAAGATGATCACGACCCTCACTGATCGATACCAAGTGATGACTTGTCTCAGTCTCCCGCTCGCCGCCTTGGTTCCCCTTCTTGGGGACCCTGCACTACGACCGAAGTACGTCCATGGAACCTTTCTTCATGCGCTTAGTTTCCGACAACGGGCCGAACCCCAGGTCAAAAAGATGCACGGCGAAGGGGGCAGCCGTTTGAAGAGCGCGCCATCTTGGGGAAGGTAATGCGGGGTTTTCTGGGGAGGGGCGCAGATGGCTCGGGACCTGGCGATGCTGAGTGCCGAGGCGGCGCTTCCTCGCCGATCGACAACACATGGTGGGCAGGCCTCCCTCACTAGCCTGGAGGATGGCGCCCACATGGTAAGGCACCCTGGGGTACTTTGAGGGGGGTGGTTCTGGCCTTTGCTGAACCCGCGAGACCATTTCAATGTCGCAGCCACACGTGCCGTGGTGGTGTGTTGGTACGCATTCTATTGACTTGGGGGCGGGAATTCGTGACCACGGCAGGGGGGGGCCCATGACGCTTTGAACGGCAGCTGTCATATGTCGGCTTTCAGGAAAAAAATCAAAGCACCCCAAAGTGTCAGGAAATGCAGACATACGTCAGAACTCCGCTAGGCTCCGACGCCTCTGTAATGCTTCAGCCATGTGACCTGCAAAGGGTTGTGTCCCATTCATAATTTCTCCCTCACGGACACATGTCCCGAATCGACGGTTTTTACCCGGCCAATCCCCCTTTTGGCTGTAGTCGTGCGATTATGAGCACAAATAGGGCTTTTGCACAGAGAAAAGAGAAAATTCCAAAATCAAGTCCCTGGAACCACACCGGGAGAACTCAAGTTTAAGAAGGCAGGCAGTCGTGTGACGAGAAGATTTCTTCTTCCAACATAACGAGGTCGTCATAGACAAGTCGAATCCTCCAGCCCCTGAGACGCAGAGAGAGCCTATGCTAGGATTGGCAACCTCGTTGAGGCTAACTGGGCTGCCTTGGCACTGAGCTCTACGGGGCCAAGCCATCGCCCAGAGAGTCCAGGCTCTCTCTCATTATCGACCTGCTCCTGCAGATCCCTCGCCGAGACTCAATATGCTGCCGAACGACGATGGAACCTGGATTTTCGAGTCGTAAAGGGAGTCTTGATGCTGCATTGAACGATGAACGCGTCATACTTGCCAGCACCGATGTGGAATAAGGTCCACTTCCAGAATACTGCTGCAGACTGCTGCGCAGTATTTGCACTCACGAATCAAGGCGGATTGACACCTTCCGGGAGGGCCATGAGGTCGGCCGACATGACGCCGAGAACTCCACGCTTGAATGCGGCCTTGCGGATGGCGGCTATAGATGTCAGCTATTTCAATGATGAGGCAAGCGGCGTGAAAGGCTTCGCTCTTGGCCATGAGTAAGAAGTGATGGCCTCGGGCCGAAGCCAGCTATCGTTTGCGAGTTGAGTCGTCATTCAGTGGACACACGATGCATGCGTTTGTGACATTGAGTGACATGTTCATGGAAGGGAGGGGAAATTGGTTACAAGCGTCAAGCACCTGGATCTACGAAACCAGAACGATCCGGCGAGATATGTTCAATGCCTTTCATAATTGGATCAGCCCGTCTCTGAAGAATTCAGTGAGGATTCCCGTGCTTGTCTCTTGTGGGCCGGCAAACTTCTCGGCATTTGTGATGATGCCCTCATAGCATCAGAACAAATCTAGATCGTTTTTATTAGAAGTCTGGATATTATTCGACTGAAGCCCATTTGTTGACATAGGCAGTGTATGAGTCAGATGATTATCCCACGGCTTTATACGCAAACTTGTATAGCAATGATTATCGCCAACAGTCCTTTCATGCACGTCAGGCCTCAAGCACTGGTATCTTGAGGCATGGAGGATGCATTCAAGAAAAAGAACGCCAGTAGCAGGAGACCCGAGATGAATTCGTACAATTTGGTCTGTATGGGAACCCTTCCCCCAAAAAGATTTCCTAGCTACTGCTTTTCAGTTTGCCGACGAGAGGAGGTGCTGATGCGTGCGTGTCAGGAGACCCGTGCAGAGCCACGGATCAGAGGGCTAGTCAGGGGCTAAGAACTACGAAAACGCGTATATAAGAGCTGCGGAGAGCCCCCTATTTGCGGAGGGCCAGAATTCAGCTGTATTACGACCCCAAATCTATAATCTATTGCCCGTGGACCACGTGTAGAAGACCTCTTCACTCTGCTCTAAGCCAGGCACTGACGGTGCGGCAGTAAGTGACCGCAGAATTCAGCTTCATGATGCTCCCGTCGAAGATGACGTGTGACGATTCATCCTGAATCTTTGATCATTCCTTTGAGTTCAGATTCCATGATTCTGCACGGTATGATGTGTGTTCTCGAAGGACTGCATCAACGGCTACTTGCTGAGGTAGACCCTCAAGACTATTGATCCCAAGCGTAGTCATATGCCCAACTGACACCCATTGTATCGCTTGCCAACAGGACTTAGTTCTAATCGTTCCTTTTTCAAGCTCATCGCGGCGGTAGAAATACGTCGCTGTTGTGTTGGCTTGCTCGCAATTGGCGAATTTACGGGCTTTTGCCGGATCTGAGTTACAGTACATGTGGTCGTCGTGAGTCCGCTCCGGTCAAACCGCCCCTCCCAGTGAACTAGAGAACGTTTTCAAGTTTAAGGAGCTGAAGATTTCCTACGTTGCGAATATATCATTAGTCCTACTAGACCTGAGCGCGCAGCTTGATGTTCAGCATGATGTGCGGATGAGGCGCGGCACCCGAAAACTAGCTTTGGTTGAGGTGGACATCTTTCATTTTTGGACTTGCTTGAATGCCGTCGATTTCTTGAGCAAGGAGACTTTTTGTGTAGTAACCCATAATTTGAAATTGTCGACAACGTTGCGTTACGTTCAGGTGGCTCAGAGTGCCACGTTTCTTCGTTTCAGTTCTATTATTCCGATGACTGATTATTCAGAAGTAACTTGGAAATGCAGAAGCAACTTGAACATGTAATTCTTTAAGTCGATATGGCTAGCTAATTGACAGCCTCCCAGTTCTCAGCAATGACGTCCATGATAACGCCATGGTCCTCGGTCTGCTTGAGGCCGCTCACGACCACAACGGCAACGACGCCCTCAACGCCGGCGACACGGATGGGAACACCACCGCCGTGGATGGCGTAGGTGGATGCCTGCTCCGGGCTCATGGCGAACTTCGCGGCAAACGCGGCCTCGTCGCCGGAGTACTTGAGGGAAAGGAAGTAGGAGCTGACGCCCCAGCGCAGAACACTGTTCCGCTTGCGCGCGACCCATCGCTCGTTATCGGGCATCACGCCACGACCGGTGCCGGTCTGGAAGATGACCTGCTGGGTATTCGCCAGCGCAATGGAGATGAGAGTGGGCTGCGTGTCGGCGATGGGATGCAGGCGAGCGTGGAGGAGGTGGCCAAGCTCGAGGGCATCCACAACCGAGAAGGAGTCAAAGTGATAAGTGTTGCCATGCTCCTTCAAAGCGTCTACCTGGGTGTCTGTGTAAGCATGTATGATAGTTCGAGCTGCGCGGCACGGGCGGAAAGCCTACCGTTGAGGGTGGTGCTGTGATGGGTGCGGGGGTGCCGGGGTTGCGGAGGACTTCGGACAGCACGGCGGCTCCGTGCCCGGCATCATTCCGACGGCGAAGGACTTGCTGAGACGACGACATGATGGCGCTGAGAGGGATGTGCGTGGTTTGTTGTTATACGATGGCTTCGCTGAACGTTCAGAGAGAGAGGGGGGTATTCACTGATGAGCGAGTTAATGAAAAGCTTCGTCTACAAGCCACACTGTATTTGGCCGTTTTACAATGTCACGTCAGCATCTCCACCTTTTGAATGGATTGCCCCCCACAAGGCGACGGGAGGCGTTGATCTGCTTCGCGGCGGTAGAAGTGCCCGGATTCCGGATCCAACTTTATGCTTTACCAATGGATCTGGATCTGTGACATGGGTCACGGGCGTGGTAATGGGAATAATGCCTTGCCCTGCCAACCTGCTGGGTTATCCGCTCAGCCTCTCACCGGCACATCGTGCATCGTACATCATTTGACACGCAAGCCTTCCCCGAGGCTGCGAGATCGACAGCGAAGATCAAGGTGTGGGTATGCGTGGCAGCGCCCGACGTGAAGAGGATCAGGGGGGGGACGGTGGAAAGGGAACGCCTGGCCTTCTGATCTGAGGCCCACTCAAGATCCTGAGATTCCATCCCTCAGTGTCTGGGCTTGTCCTACGCTTCCGAGTAACATCATCGCTCAACGCCAAGTCTCTGTGCCCTCACCGAACCGTTTCCAGCCACCATCTGCAGCCGAACCTTGATCTGCTCCGGCAGCCAAGATCAACAGGAGCTTACTCATGGCGTCAAGCTTCCCCTCATTTCTCCTAGCCTTGACTTCTAGCTCGCTCTTAACTCTAAGTTCAAGCTCAAGGCAACCGGGCCCCTTAGCCGCACCACGCTCTCATCCGTCCTCCAACGTCCGCCCTGTCGAGCTTTGGCGTTCGGTGCGACCGCCTACGTCCAATGAGGCCAGCGAATCTGTACGAGTATGTCGCGAAGGATTCCACCCGTTACAACCATAACAGCGTCATCGTCGCACGACGCTAGCCCCGATCACCGTCCTATCGGCCACTTCGGGCGTCATCTTTCGACCATTGACGGGCCTTGCCGCCCACACCGTGATCCCCACCATGCCTCAACACGCGGGGAGAGGTAGATTGTTCGGACGTAAAAGCACGCGAAAGAAAGACAGAGCTTTCCGCAAGGCGTTTCTCTCCAATTGCTGCATGGGAATTCGAGGCTAATCCCAGCCATCCCGCGTGTCTTGTTGCTGGCGTTGCCTAGCATGTGCTGTCGCTGAGCCTAGACGGGACGCGAGGCGCACTTGGTCTCCCGTTGCTTGTCTTCTGTTTGGCCGGACCTTTCGATCCAACGCGCATCACCAACCTAGGATGACGTGCAAGGCGTCTTGGCCGTCAGCGCGGGGAAAGCGTAAGCTTGGTCGGCTGCCCCGGGGGTTGATGATGAAGGGTAAGCTTATAAGTTGGAGATCCTCGTGCTCTTGCTCAGCAGCATGTGGTAGGCCTCTTTGACTCCTCGGCCTGTCCGGATCTCTTGTTCTAGTCAATCGAGGCATTGAAGACGCCTTGTAGCTCTGCGACTCTCTGAAGATTGAGTGACCTGCCCGATCTCTCCTCTCGCTTGCTCCTTAGCAAAGACCTGCCGTTTGTCCGAATTTCGAGGAAGCTGCTCGTCCCGATTGTGCAGTATGCTTTCATCTACACTGCCCGTGGCTGTTGCCCTACTGGGTATTCAAGCAGCTCTTGGCCGCCCCATCCAAGGACTTGATCGGGCTGAGATCGAGGAGGCGTACGACTTCATCATTGCTGGAGGTAAAAATCCTGTGCGTTACCAAGTAGTCTCAACGATCGTTGCTGACGGTTTTCAGGTGGCACGGCCGGCCTCGTGGTCGCGAACCGCCTCACCGAGTCCGGCAAGCATCGCGTCCTCGTCCTCGAGGCTGGACCCGACCCTAGCATTGTCGCCGCCTACAAGCCTCTCGGGGGCAATCAGCTGCTTGCCGGTATGCTTCCATGGGACAGTGGACCGATCTCTGGGTATTGACGAAGAATAAGGCTCTGCCATCGACTGGCGATTTGACACTGTGCCCCAAGAGGGCCTCGATGGCAAGATCCTCACCTACTACCGTATGTCCAACCCATCCTCTCCATCAATGCATGTGGGGGCTGACCCGTCTAGGTGGCCGAGGCCTTGGCGGCAGCAGCGCAATCAATGGCTTCTACTATGGTCGTGGTACATCGACCGTCTACGACAGATGGCAAGATCTGGGCAACCCCGGCTGGAGCTGGGCTGATGTATACCCTCTCTTCATCAAGGTATGTGAAGACGGCCTCATTTGCTAGGAAAGCGAAACGAAGGCTGACAAGCATAGGGCACTCACTTCAACCCTCAAGACGAGACCAAAGGTTTCGATAATACGTACAAGACATGGGACCCATCGGCCTACAGCGACGGCCCTCTCGAGATCGCTTACCAGGGCTTCGTCCCGCCGACGGGCATTGCCTTCATGCACGCCTGTGAGGCGGCCAACATTCCGATCGTGCACGACTACAACACAGGCAACAGCACCGGCGTCAAGCAGGGAACAGCCACGCTCGACGCCAACCTGCTGCGCAGCTCCAGCTACGACGGATACCTGAAGAAGGCCATCAATCGGACCAACCTCGACGTGCTGTACTATGCGCCGGTACAGAGCCTGCTGTGGGACACGGAGGGAGAGAAGCCCCGCGCGACGGGTGTGCAGTTCCTTGATCATCCCTCCGGACGCATGTATCAAGTGCATGCGGCCAAGGAGGTTGTTGTGTCGATGGGCGCTTTCCAGACGCCGCAGCTGCTCATGGTTTCGGTATGTCGCCGGTCTGCGATAGAAGTCCTTCAGGAACTGACATGTGATGTTAGGGAGTTGGGCCAGCCGCAGAACTGGAGAAGTTTGGGATCGAACCTGTCTACATCAACGAGAACGTCGGTCAGCAGTGAGTGAAAGTGACCCTGCTCAACATAGCAGCATTGACTGATGATGTCGCAGCCTCGACGATCACAGCGTCTTCAGCATAATGGCAACGGTTGCCGACGAGTTCTCGACAAGCCAGTACGCAGACTTTGACCTGTTGCAAGCCATTCAAGAGGTCAGTGCCAATGTCTGCTTCGCCTCGTGGTTGAACGAGTACTGATGCCTAGCAGGAGTTCTACACCAACGGCACTGGAGTGTACACGGCCCCATCAGGCATTACCAACGGGTTCCAGAGACTCCCTGAGGAAGAGCTTCGGGATATTGGCGCCGGCGCCGTCGTAGATGCCGGTCTCAGCGATCAGTCTCATATCGAGTACCTGTTCGAATCCATCTTCTACCCCGGAGGGCCGACCCCGTTCTACACGCCGCTCGCCAATGAGTCGTACATTTCCTTGACAGCGAGCAGCATGGTGGCTCTGTCCCGCGGCAACATCACTCTCCGGGGAACCTCCATGTCTGCTGCACCCAACATCAACCCCAACGTGAGTAATCCCCCAACATCTCACCTTGAGACGCTTGCCTTCGGTCGGCTTGGAGAAAAGGGAAAGCGGCTGACAAACACAGTACTATACGCACGATGCCGACCGCGCCATCGCAATCCAGGCCTTCAAGTACCTTCGCAAGATCCTCGCGCACCCAGAGCTCGCCAAGTTCACCTACGGCCCCGACAACGGCGAGGTCAGCCCCGGCGCTGCTGTCAGCTCGGACGACGACGACGCCATCTTCGAGTATGTCAAGGCCAACACGATCCCCAACTGGCACGCCTCAGGTACGGCGCGCATGCGGCGCGAGGACGACGGCGGCGTTGTTGACGCGCGCCTGAAACCGTACGGTATCGATGGGCTGCGCATCGTCGACTGCAGCATCATCCCGGTGCTTCCAGATGTCAATATCGTTGGGCCTGTGTTCATGATTGGCGAGAAGGGTGCACAGCTCATTCGCGAGGATTACGATGATTGTTGAGATGAAGACATCGACAAGGTGATGGTGCATCATGTTCGAAGCAGGTGATCGGGTTCGTGATCGGATTTGGATAGTTTTGCGTAGCCCGTACTAGATGCTCCCATGGATGAATCTTTATCCCCCCCTGGGGCGATCTCCAGCTGTTGGGCGCAGGAAATAATGGATATTCTTCTCTGCAGTTGTCGTGACTGGCTTTCTACCATTAATTGACGTCATGGACTTTGAGAACCCTCCGTAGTCGAGGCCATGTCATGGCATGTCATTGTGCCATCACAATGAAGCCTGTCGATTCCATTGTGTACCTTATATTGAGTTTCATGGCTATTCCCAAATCTCCCCCAACGCCCGAGCAGACATCACCATCCTGAACCACACAGCACATTCACACACACACACAGCATCATGCCTTCAGCAATCGTTACCGGCGCGACTGGTAACCTACCCTAAAGCCCCAGTCTCTCAAGGAAAGACTGAAAAGGTCCCTCTGTACCGAAGCTGACAGATCCCCAGGTATCCTCGGCCGCGAGATCGTCAACCGCCTCGGCGACAACTCAGATCAGTGGCAAACAGTCTACGCCCTCTCGCGCTCTAAAAAGGGCGCCTTCCCCGCCAATGCCCAGCACAAGTCGATCGACCTGACAGGCTCAGCCGACGACATGGCCGCGAGCCTCGAGGGCGTCCAGGCCGAGTACGTCTTCTTCGCCGCCTACCTGGAGCAGGACACGGAGCAGAAGGCCTGGGACGTCAACGGCGCCATGCTCGAGTCCTTCCTCGCGGCGCTCGAGCGCACCGGCGCCGCCCGGTCCATCAAGCGCGTTGTCCTCGTCACGGGCGCCAAGCAGTACGGCGTGCACCTCGGCCCGCCCAAGAACCCGATGCTCGAGTCGGACCCCTGGCTGCGCGACGAGGGCCGGTTCCCGCCCAATTTTTACTACCGACAGCAGGACGTGCTGCGGGCCTTCTGCGCGCGAACAGCCTCTTCGTCCGGCGGCGACGGCGCGTCCTGGACCGTCACGTACCCGAACGACGTCATCGGCGTGGCCAAGGGCAACTTCATGAACCTCGCCACGGCGCTAGGTCTGTACGCTGCCGTCAACAGGGAGATGGGCCGCGACCTCGCGTTCCCCGGGTCCGAGACGTTCTACACGCGCTTTGACTCGTTCACGGACGCGAGACTGCACGCCGAGTTTTGCGAGTGGGCGGCCCTCGAACCCAAGGCCGCCAACGAGGCCTTCAATGTCGTCAATGGCGATATCGAGAGCTGGCAGAACATGTGGCCCATGCTGGCGAGGCGGTTCGGCAGCAAGGTCAAGGAGGACCAGTTCGTCGGCGAGGGTGAGGACGCCGGCTCGAAGAAGCTTAATGACCCGTCGCCCCTCAGCATCTTTGAGGCTGAGTCGGGTCTCAGGGGCAAGGTCGAACCGGGCAACCTCGAGTACAGGGTTGATCTCGTCAAGTGGAGCCAGCGTGACGATGTCAAGGAGGCATGGGAGAGGCTGGCTGAGCGCGAGGGCCTCGACAAAGAGGCTTTCGAGAAGGCGACTTGGGGTTTCTTGGTTTTCATTCTAGGCCGGGCCTATGATCTCGTCATCAGCATGAGCAAGGCCAGGGAAATTGGATGGACTGGGTGAGTACACAACTCAAACTTCCGGGATGAATGAATACTCGTGCTGACATCTTTTCCAGTTACAAGGACACGTGGAAGGCTTTCTCCGACGTATTTGCGCAGCTGGAGGCTGAGAAGGTTCTGCCCAAGACTCACTGAGGGGAGCATGCGGCGCAGAAGAACGTCTTTGATTCGAGGCTAATACCGTGATCATCTGAGACGATTTCAGGAAGCCAAATGACTTTCTGTGATCAAATGGGTATCACCAACCACGTAGTTCGCAATGAAATCTAACCCATAACTCCGTATCCTTGCAACCCTCATATCCAAACCCATGCTCATTATTTCGTTGCTTCAAAAATGAGTTGCGGCAGCTCAAAGAGCCTCAAAGAATTTCATCCACCACAGTGCTTTTCGTTCCTCTTGATGCACTCACGAAAGGGTCTTGAGCTGCATTAGTGCCCTCTCTTCGTCGAACAGCACAACTACGTCAGTATGGCCTCTGTTGGCAGCAAGGTCAATCGGCGTATCGCCATCAACATCCACGTTGTCGAGGTTGGCACCGTTATCGAGCAGAAGTCTCGCGATGGCTGGGAACCCTCCATATGCCGCCATACTGAGGGCCGTCCAGCCCCATCGATCTTTGGCGTTGACATCCATGCCCACATGGATCAAGTCGGCCACCTTTTGCAGGTTGCCATCGCTGGCAGCCTCAATGATGGCAGTGTCTTTGACCACGATTCTCTGCAACAGCCGACTCACGGCCATACGTCGCTTCGGCTTGACGAGCGGCCAGTTGGGTGCCTCGCCGTCCTCTGGCGTCGGCAGCAGGCTGTTCGTACGCTTTAGCTGGACCTTCTGCTCAAAGTCCTCGTTGGCGGCACACAGAGTGATCGTGCTCGGCCTGCGACTGCCGCCGTTACTTCCGTACCCCGAATCCGTAGCCGGGCTGAACGGCCCAAACAGCGTCTGGCTGCTGCTGCTATTGCTCGTGATGGACCGGCTCGAGACGGATGGTTTGCGGTTTGGTGATTCAGTGTCAGGCACGGACTCGTCGAGCAAGCCGTCAGCAAGGGCTTCCTTCATCCATTTCACGATGTAGTCGCGGTTCTCCTCGACCACCATCGCGCTGATCCCTACGTCTTCGAGTTCTCTGCGGAGCTCACTCCAGGTCTGCGGCGAGTCGAGCGTCTCGACCACATCTTCGTCGGTGACGACGGATCCCTCACGAAGTCCGGCTTGGACTTCCATCATAAACTTATTCAGGCGCTTCTCGATCCTCATGGTTGATGAGCTAGCGGGCGTCGACGTCAGCAAGGAAACGAGGACAGGACAATGAAGGAATGACGGGCTCTCACTTGATCAGCGCAATGTTGAATGCGCTCAACATGGTTGTTGATGAGATGAGACGCGAGCGAAGGTCGGCCAGCTCCTGGAGTCCGAAGCGCATGCGGTCCCATGTGCGCTGTGCCTGGGTGCCGAGGCTGTCATACCTTGTGATGAGCGATTCTAATTCGTCCAGAATGGGTTTGCACGCGTCACACAGCATGTGCAGGCGGTTGATACGCGACGTGTCGAGGTCGGTATGCTCCTGGAGGTAGTCCTCCGTCTCTCTCAACACGGCGTGCAACGACATGAGGTCGGTCGACACCTGCTTGAAGTCTTCGCTTGCATCCTTGTAGGCTTTGAACAACTTCCAGGCCAGACCCGAGACGAGGACAACGTCCCCGATTCCCACGCCAAAACTCATGATGGATCAATTGCTGGATAGAGAAGGTCGATGTCGAGTCGGACACGAAGACGCACGCTGGTGGATGCGATGTGGTAGGTTGTCGCCACTTTGCACCAACGACAACGGAAGACCGGCCAGTCAAAAGGCTAGAGAAGCACGCAACGAAATCCTGTTTGTCGAGAAGTACGCCCGATGAACATGGTCGTTGTGAGAGCCTCAGCAATAGTGAAGCGAAAGGGGCGTTCGTCTGGCGTGTCCGTGGCGAGGCAGATTCGTAGCCTTTATGGCGGGCGTTTTCCCTCCCCTCCCCGCCAAGGGTACCACGAGCCTCCGTTCTCCTGGGTCTTCGGGGTGCTGCTCGTTGAGGGAACCCGGGCTGAAGATCACTGGGGACGGGTCGGCTCGTTCACTGGTCGGAAGGATCATAAGGCCCATTATGTCGTCTAGATAAGACGAAGGGGGTGCATGCCCTGGTGCGTTGTGGCGTTGAAGCGTATTTACAATTGGACTCGTCTCGCGACACTGACAGGCTCCGCCTCGGGCAACCTGTCAGGCGCACCCAATCCAGCGCAGCTTCCTGCAGCCAGCGACAGGGAAACGGCCAGCCACCAGCGCTTGCCGTTCAGCCTTTCATGCCTTCCCTAACAATCCCCTAGTCGCTCGTTCCTCCCCCCTCAAACCGGCCCCTGCTTGCTCTTCCCATAAGGTAGATAGAGCTGAAGAAGTCCTTCCACCCATTTCACTCTCCGCCTCCTCGACACACAAGCCCACCCCCCGGGACCGTTGATCAACTGCCGCCAACATCCCATCTTACTCGCTGACACGCCTCCGGACTTGACTCCCCTCCCTCCCCCCCCATAGCACACTCGGCAACCATGCCCCCGCTAACAGACACCCCCCCTGCTGTGCAACCTCACATTGGAATCATCGGAGCGGGTGTTTCAGGCCTCCGCTGCGCTGATGTGCTGTTGTCCGAAGGCTATCAGGTTACCATTCTCGAGGCTCGAGGCCGCATAGGAGGCAGGGTAAGCTACCCGTCCCGGCTAACCGCGAGCCTTACGAGTTGCCAGCGCCGTGGCTGAGACTATTGAACAGATTTGTCAATCAGATGGCCTCGGATACACAGTCGATATGTGAGCTCTGATACCCCAGAGAGCCTTATTTGCCCCTCACTTAGGACAACCTGTCGAGAGCCCCTACGTGCTGACTTTGTCTCCTTTTCGTAGTGGGCCGAACTGGATACACGCGCAAACAGAGAATTCGGAGCCACACGCCATATCCCGCCTGGCCGAGGAGACCGGAACGCCTATGCACAGCTGGAACGACAAGCAGCTCATATTCGATTCCAATGGCAGTGCAGTACCTGCCGACACGACGGAACGACTGTCGACCCTGTTGTGGCAGATAATCGAAGAGGCTTTCAACTTCAGCGCCGATGCGCAAAAAGGCACTTCATCCATTGACAACGACGCTTCTCTCTATGACTTTATTCGGGACCAGGCTAAGGAGAAGCTTTCTGACGAAAATGAGCGGGCACTTCTGCTCAAGATGAGCGAGATGTTTGGAGCTTACATCGGCGAGCCGGTGTGGCGTCAGAGTCTCAAATTTGCTTGGATGGAGGAGTGCTGCGGAGGAGGTGCGTGACTGCCGTCGCTTTGATCT